TAGTAGTAGTAGTAGTAGTAGGTGCTTGAGAGAGTTTGGATTCTCGCTGTTCCATCCAGCTACGGTGAAACATACTCATTGTCGTAGTAGATGCTTCTAGAAGGTAGGTGCATACATACCGTCTACTACATCAGAGTTAACAGGAACAAAACAAAGCTAAATCTGCCAAAGACTCTAAAGCATTTCCCTGTTGCTATTGCATCTTGAGCTTGCCAATGGCAGGGTTCTGCAGCTGGCCTCCTCCCAGTACTTGTCTAAGTTGATCTGGATCACTTCTATGGAGCACCCTTGCAGTCGCTGAATGATGTGCCAGTTGCACTCCGAGATCCACTGCCTCACTGGCACTTGTGGAGTCTATCCAATCATAATTGTTGTTGCCGCGTCTTTTGCTCTGAACACACGCCGCCTTGCTCATATTCAGAACCATGGCAGGATTTCGAGTCACAACGCACTCAAAAGGACACCGCACATGCATGCTTGCTATACTCGTTTGTCTCAGGGAGCCTGTAACTATGTGCTTACTAACGAAAGACTTGAAACAATACCTCAAATGGCAAGGCGGCTGGTCACCAGCAAAGAGGATGCACTGACGCTTGCAGCTGCCATCGTGGTCGGACATCACTGATGCCCGAGCTTGACTCACGATGCGACCGATGGCGTTGTATGCCTTAGTCCAGCATGAAGTAGTCTCCAAGCCTGATTTCCCTCAGCGGTATAGCCTATGTCAACACAGGAATCCTCCCGCTCAGAAGCCCCTGGAAACCGTGTTCGCGCATGCAGTTCTGAATCTGATCATCATGGCCATGGAGACAGAGATGATACCAAACGTTGTATCACATAGGCTGCCAGTGCCATTGCTGACAGTTGGACTATTGTTGTTGCATCTGTGGTGCACCATGCTGCCGGACAGAAGTGGAAGGGGCCGAGGCTTGACGAGAAGAGCGTAGGAAACCGATTTACTATGAGTGCCATATTAGAGTTGGGTTATCATGTTTTTGCATGATGAAGCAAGCGACCCTGAAACCTATCCCACGCCGTGTGCTGTTGCCAAGGTGCAAACATCTGCATGGGGCCGAGGTCGTATGGATGGATTGACAGCACCTCAGGAATCGCACAGGCTGCAGAAAGCAACCCCCCCGTATTCCCTAGCGCTTTAGCGACAGCAACTACAATATGGTCCGCATTAGGGGTAGCTACCATCTGGACATGGTAGATGGCAAAGTGAAGACTTGCTTGGCTTCAACAGGCTGAGGAGCTCCACGATACTTTGAGGCCACATGAGCGGGGTTTTCCTAAAGGGGGACACCAGGAGTGTAGACTGTGGCTCACGTGGCTTCGGGCTTAGGGCCGCGAGCTCTTGGCGACCAGCCATGTTCTCCTCGGCATGGCATCCCAACTGGCATTCGTGCACACTTATGCACGTGCAGAACACCTTCCTAAGCTAGAGTCTAAACTCCTTCCAGGCACGTTATTAAGGGGGGTACTAGGAGTTTAGACGGTAGCTCCCATAACCTAGGTAAAACAGGCGTTGAAGCAACCTTCAGCCCCAAACCTCTAGCCCAAGCCCTCAACCCCAAAGATTGAAACCTCAAGCGCCGCGCCCCCAACCCTTTGCCCTGAACTCCGAGCCCTGGCCCTAAATCCCGAACCCTAAACTGGGTTGCCGTGAAGGAACGTGAACTAAGTTACCAGAATATGGACATATGTTTTTTCCCTGCCGCCTGGCTGTTTCCTTAAAGTAAGTTAGCATCATATGGGCATATAAATAATGGGGTTTCTTAATTATAGTAACTTATTTCAGATTCCTTAACGATAATGGGGTTTCCTAATTATAGTAGCTTATTTCAGATTCCTTAACGATCATGGGGTTTCCTAATTATAGTAACTTATTTCAGATTCCTTAACGATCATGGGGTATCCTAATTATAGCAACTTATTTCAGATTCCTTAACGGCAGCCCAGTTCAACCCACGCACTGAGGCCATTCGGGGCTGGCACAGGCTGACGGTCGTAGGTCCAGCCGTGGGCTGCGCAGGCCTGCTGCTTCTCTGGGATGCTTCTCATTTTGGCTCTAAGGGATTTGGAAACCCAGTAGAAATTATAATTTCAGATATACATTAGGATTGTTGGTAACAGAAATTAATAATTATTTTCAGGAACCTGTTGGTCGGGGTGTAGCAATGTCACTACTATCTATGACTACCACTAATAGCAACCTCTGTTGCTGCAAGCCGGACAATTCTGAATCTACGTAACAGTGCTCCGCTATCAGCGCGGCATGACTTCAGAAAGCATGAACTAGTCTTTATTCGGAAAGCAGGGCATCATAAGAATGGAGGTCCTGTGCAAAGCCGTCCGTGTTGTACTCAGCTGGTCGCGCGTCCACGATGGATCCGACACCTACAGCTTCCACAGGCAAACCTAGTGAGTCATAATCTAGTGGTCCCGAATGCTGGGAACATTTTCCTCAACTGCCCCAGAAGGCTTCACTCCAGCTTGCGAAGCCTGCGACAGACGCTCATCTTTAGCGGTGTGCAGTCCAAGTAGGGTTAGAGTAGCGTTGCTTACGAAAAGAAGCCCTAGCTGAATCATGATGAGGCTTCCAAAGAGATTAGGTAAGAGAAGCGAGTTCACACCGTGAACCCTGGAGAGCAATAACTTTGCCTCCAAAAATCTACAGCACAATTCTCATCTCCAAAACGTCACTAAGCTCCGAACTCTTGCAAAAGTAAACGTATGAAAAAAAAACAGGCCGCGATAGTTCTCCAGCATCTTGATCATCACGCTTGGCTCTACGTTGGGCTCCCATCCTGGGCTCCGCTCAGGGTTTGTGGCTTTAGGGCTTGCGCTTGCAGGGTTTAGGGCTTTGGGTCTTTATGGCTCTGGGCTTTTAAGATTTGATGCTCAATGCGAGCGCTTCTCGGATGTGCTACCTGGATGGATCAAACAAGGGGGAAGGCGCATTTCCCGAGTACAGGCGTGCCCTGGGCAAGACATTACGCGGTTGCAAGTAGGCAGAATCAGAACCAAAAGAAACACATCTAGTCAGAGTCTAGTCACTCTAGTCTGAACAGAAGCACCTGCGATCATAGTATCAAAATAAAGTTCTAAACAGTACATGCGGAAAAAAGGTACACAGCTGTGGATAAACCATGTGAGCCACCTTATACACAGAACCCTGGACCTTTGAAACCTTTGAACGTTAACGTGAACGAACTGGCTGGTCAACCAAGATGCCAATTGTGCAGACACTGGGCTGGTTGCTCTGCACGTCCTCAGGGGACCCGGGAGCGCACAGCACAACCCTAATAAGCCCCAAACCACAAAGGCAACATGCAGGGCTTTGGGTTTGGGAGCGGCCCTGAACAATTGCTGCTGCTGCTACTCTCACGGCTAGGGTTCAGTGATTTGAGCAGCCGTCGTACGATTGCTAGATGACAATGAATTCTAAGCTGAGAGGTCTGCAGCCCTCTTACGCGGCTTCACTGCACAATGCTGGTGTGGAACACTTTCCTTAAGAAGGAGCCTGCGCTCACTCCCCAACATCCTGGCGTAAGGTTTCAATCTTCTGCTGGATGTATGGCCTTTCAGGCCTTGAGGCCCGCAATTGAGCCGGTGAGGAATATGTGTACTTCGTGGCTCTGCACTTCGGCCAGACAGGGTGGCAGCCATATCTTGCCTCCCAGTAAGCTGATAGATCCTGACATGATTCAGGAACTGAAGCCTTGATTCTAGAGACCCTAAAGCCACCTCCACAATTCCAACCCTAAATTCTCAAAACGTCCAAATGGCAAGCCAAAAAGCAAGACCCTAATCCCAATAGAACCCCTACAATAATATGGTAGTTTCCATTTTCTTTTCCATCATCCTAAATATCTCCCCAATATATTCCCTATATATCCCTATAGATCCCTACTATACATGAGTAGTTTCCATTTTCTCTTCCACTATCATTATATCTCCCAAATATATTCCCTGTATATCCCTTTATATCCCTACTATGATATAATAGCTCCCCTTTTCTTTTCCATTATTCTCTGTATGACCCCGAACCAGAAGCTGCAAATTCTAAGCCCATCCCTCAGAGATCCTACTCAATTGACCGCCTAGGCATCCAACACCGCTTGAAGACCAAACCCTCTCTCTACTCAAAGTTACATGGGACTTCGCAACTACTTATAGCTAGGTCTATAGCCTTCCTTATAGTCCGCTCACTGAACTTCTATAGGTCACCCCAAGAAGTAGGGTTACATAACCCCAACTAGAATAGATCCCTAAACCCTAAACCCTAGAAGTAGTTTAGCTCCTAAGTCGCATGAACCTCCAAGTACCCTGTCCCACCTCCTCCTCGGCAGCCTCTGGGTCCTCGCCACTTGACGGCTGCCCAGAGGAAAGGGCCATGGATTCCTTGGTAGTTTCCATAAACTGGGGACCCCAAAATACTATAATCCTTACTATGGTACCCCCCCAATATAGACCCCAAAATACCATAATCCTTGGTATGGGAGCCCAAAATGGTACCCCAATTTTTGGGAAACTGCTCCTTGTTGCGAGGCACGCTTATGTTTCACGGCAGGTCTTTGAGTTAGCGGTTTCGGGGTCTGGGACTTTGGGACTTCTGCTTCGGGGTATATAGGGATCGTGGCCATTGCAATTTTGAGCTTGGGGAGTTCTTTCCCGATGTTTGGACGCTTCAGGCATGCGAGACGTTTCAGGGGGCCTAAGGTTTGCAGATGTTGCCAGATGTTGGGGTTGGCATTCAGAGTTACGCTTGCTCCAACTCTCTGCGGGGCCATCTGTTGGCTGATGAAGTCAAGTTGGCCAGCTGCTACTTGGAGGGTCAGGGGGACTTAGTAAGTAGGTTACTATATGGGTTATAGGGGTTGTTAACCTACTTACTAAGTCCCCCTGACCCTCCAAGTAGAACTAGGTTTGCTCTGATTCCGGGTCTTTCACACATTCCAGTTGCCTGGTCTCAAAGCACCACAAGCTTAGGGAAGTGCCAATCGGACCGGGAGCCAGAGGGTCCTGGTTTTTTCCATCCTGTAAGTTTCAGACTGACTGCGCCCGCGGCAATCAATATGATAAGTAGACAGCAAGGGCGATTTCAAATGCAAATCTTGCAACATGCTAAGTCGTAGACACGCACACCCCATACGGCAACGCGGCGGTGTATTGCGATCAGTGCTCTATTGTAATCTTGGTAGGGTAGGCAAAGGTCGTCCTCACGCTGGTCTTCAAATTTCGTGGCAAGAGCAGGCAGGAGGTTGGAAGCAGTGGGGAATTGTAACAACAGTAGCAGCCAACAATCGGCCTTGTCAATTTCTCATATCTTTCTGTTCGTTGTATTGCTGTCGCACGAACTAAATCTCGAGTCTGCGCGCCTACTGTGAGAAGCATGGAAGCGATAATGACAGCCCCAGAAAAGAAGACTAAGAGGTAGTCCTAGTAATTGTGTAGCAGCCAGCAGCAATAACAACCATAAAAAGTACCATGCAACCTGCTGTCGGCCTGCGGCCAAGGGGCTGGCGTCTTCATCTGTTTTAATTGGGCCATGATGGTCAAGAACTGCTCGTGTGACATCGGGTTCGAGTTTGGACTGCCTTCTCTTTTGACAGAGCCTGTGCCATTGCAGGGCAAGTCAGGTAGGCTTGGGGCCAAAGTTGCACGGGTACGTCTCATGCAGGGACCCTCGAATCCCTGCAAGCAGGTAGACTTCTTGAACGAAACCGAACTTTACCCGGACTTGCGAGAAGCCTATGACACAACCAAGGAATCTGACTGCGGCGCGAGGGCTTCAAAAGACACTCCGTCTCCATCTTAAGCAAGCGTGGAAAGCGCGAATGATAAAGATGCCACCACACATGGGTATGAATCATGAGGAGAACTGTCTAGATTCCTGGTGCCAATGACCCCAATGTTTGTGGTCGCTTTTCAGTTCAAGACTTAGGGAGGAGCTCCGAAATGAGCGCAGCGCCTGGCTCAGTCTTCGTCTCGCCCTTCACTCCTGTTGCGCTAAAGCTTCCGGACTCCTCCAAAAAAGTCTGAACGGATGATTAATCTCCTACCCCCAACAATACCTATACGGTACCATTCTGTATTAGGGGGTAATTTTGTTCTTCGGAGGGTGGGAGGTTGTTTTTGGGGAGAGGTGATTGATTGGTCTTCCCTGGTCCCTAGTTCCCCCAACATCCAGTAGCCTCAAGCTCTTTCTAACTTGCGCCCGCGGGGGCGGGACGAAAGCTTTCAAGCAGGGTGCATACTAGCACATGCATTTTTCATGAAGCGGCGGAGCGCGAACGGCCTCCGCGTGCCCAAGAACGGCTTCCAACGTGCCCAAAAACTTGCCATCTGGTGTCCCGGTAAGAGTGTTTATTTTTTTGTTGTCTGGTCTTTTTTGTTGTTTGGGCTTTTCGGGTTTTATTTTTTTTGCTGTTTGGGCGGGGGCGTGTTCTTTT